GCTGTCTAAGTACCCGCTGGATAAGAGGGGATCCGGTTAGCCTCCTCCCGAAACCATTGGAGATAGTATCAATGTGTTGGCAGCGTTACATCCATTCCATCAATTCCCCTGGTCCTAGCTCATGGTCAGGATTCAGGTATTCTTTGTTCGTGGAGAAGTTCAGCCAGCCACAGTACCATGGGGTACACACCTGCTTAGCTAATTGGTTGTAATTTCTTCCAGCCTTATAGCACCGCTTTGCACTGCCTGGTAGGGGTCCTTGATCTCGCTCGTTAGGGCAGGTAGATGATACGTTTCGTTTCATGGATAAAGACAAGTGTGATACACGTTCATCAATGCATACAAATGTGTTGTATTATTCAATCATAATATATGAACCCCGTGCTCTCTCCCAATACGCCGTTATCTGTAAAACCAAGGCTAGTCATACAAGCTGCTATTTCATACCCAAGAATTCACTGTATCATTACCATGCACCCGCATCATTATCAAATCGAGACAGTTCTTTTTGTGCGTCCTCCACATCTTTCTTTGCCTTCATGCGCATATAGAAAATAGGACAATCCCTGGACGAGCAGATGACTTCACAGTGCAAACTGCCTTGACACCGCTGGCATTGAGTCCAGAGTCGTCCGAACCGGACTTCAAGGTCTGATACTTTGGTCAACGACTTGGTGTAGAGCTCGCCGAGGCGGGGACGGCAGTAAGCGCACACGGCTCCCTCTGCTTCTTCCTTGCCGGATAAGGGTTTCTTGCATCCCAGGCAGGTTTGCGTCTTCTTGGCGAACTTCATCAGTCCGCCCATGGTTGGCGCGGCCACGGAAATGGCACGGGTATGTTCGCCGGTGAGGAGCTGGCTGGCTTTCTTTTCTCCGAGAATGGGTTCGAAAATACGGCCGAGCGGGTTGGCCAGTTGATTGTCGAGGTAGTATTTCGTGTCGATGGGGATGTTGTTCTCAAGGACGTAGATCGGATCCTCGGACCTTTCGTAGTTCTTGGACCCTCCGGCACCCTTAATTATGACATATGCCACACGGTCGCCGAGCGTGGGTGCTGAACCCGCGTCACGCTTCCTCATGCGCTCTGCAAGTTCCACGTGTGCCTGCTTGGCCGTATACGCATCCTTGGACAAGGCCTTGGTGATCACGAGCTTCGACATATCAATCTTATTTTGCAGAAGGTCGGAAATGGTGTCCTTCACGTAGCTGCAATTCAGTTAGCAACAAGCAAAGGGGCTTTCGCAAGTGGTCTTACTCTTGTGCCCCATCAATATCCCGCTCAACCAGAATCTTTTGTAGGACCGTCTCGATAACATTCTGAACCAGCAGGCAGTTGTCGCGACGGACTGTTTCAATACCCTTCGTATCCATCTTGTCGTATTTGTTGGGGTTCGTCCAGTATAGTCCGGCGTACCGCTTCTTGTTGATCAGAAGATATGGGAAATAGACCTTTTCGAACTCCAGTTTGATCGGCTTCAGGAACTTGGACGAGACGTATTCGGACGCCTCTTGTCCAAGCTTCATAGCTTCCTCCAAGTTGTCAACGCCAAATTTGACCATGACCGAATCAGTATCACCATAGATGACCTTGGCATCATGAGAATAACCATTCGCGATGGTGTACCGGGCTTCCACCTCCTGTTTCGTCTTTTCGATCATCTGTCGTCCATAACTGGTTGTACTACTCGCGATAGGCAAGCAGGGCAGCTTTCCGACAGTGGCACCTGTGAGACCGTACACACTGTTTGCGCTAATCTTCAGAGCGAGCTGTCGTCCGTTCAAGACAGCTTTCTTGAACGGATCAGTCTCAGTGGCCAGCTCTTTCTTGGCACGTTTACGCGCAGATAGCAGTTCTTCCAGAATCTGTGACAACAGGCCTTTGCGAACTTTGGCGGTACAGAACATGTCGCCATTAGGGGTCACGATGTAGTCTTCATCCTTTACAAGCTTCAGCCTTTCAACGCTATTCTTATTCAACAGCGTTGTGTAGCAGAGATTATGGGCCTGGATGATGGACGGGTATAGGGACGCGAAATCGAGGGTTGCGATAGGCACACCGTAGTAGCCCCTGACAGGCTCGATAACAGTAGCACCTTCGTAGTCTTGTTCGTCGTTGGACTTCGTATTTGGGATGACAAGCTGCTGCTCCAAAGCCTTGCGGAACAGCTGACTGATGAACTTAACTTGCTGACCGCGTGACAGCAAAAAGTTGAAGGGCACACCCGTCACTCTTGCCATTTCGGTGTAGTTGACCAAGCACATCAACTTGTCCATCAGTCTCTGCGGTAAATATGCATCCTTCAAGCAGTAGACAGCTAAACGCCGTCGAGAATCGGGAGTTCCGTTATATAGCTCAGTGATCATTGTGTGATGGACATCCTCCTTCTGTTCGCCCAAGAACTCATAAGACACCGAGTTCAGGGTATAACTTCGCAGGTGATAGTCTCGCTGTACCAACTGAAGCATGTCGAGTTGGATTCGACCATTAGTGTTCGTTGACTTCGTGTCACGGTTACCCATCTGCTTGCTGGAAAAGTTGGTTTCCTTGCTTTGCGACTGCACACCGTTCAGTCTGGTCCAGTAGGGGAAGCCAGTGCATTTCAGATGCTTGGCGCGATCCAACAGATACGGAAAATCGAAGTTGGCAATGTTGTAGCCGATGATGACATCCGGGTCCACCTTTTGCACGAACTCGCGCCAGGCCATGAGCATCTTCGCCTCGTCCTTGAATTCCAGGATTTGAGTGTTAACAATCAAACTGCATGTGTCCAAAACAAACACATTACGAATAAACGGTTTAGACTCTCCGTAACGCGTCACGACATTGGCGATCTGAATGACTGGGTCGTGGTTCGGTTCAGGGAAGATACCCTTTCGTCCAGCACACTCAATATCGAACGACAAAATGCGCAGCGGGGCCATCTTAGCCCACTCGCCGTTGGGTGGATGGGAGATAAGGTCTCGGTAGTCGACACTGGCCTCAATCTGACAATTCGACACCTTCTCATGTTGTTGGAATAAGCGGTACTTCCCAGCCTTTGCTTCAACCCAAGACATGCCTGAGATATCCGTGTCGATCATGAACCGGAGGAGGTATTGGATGCTGTCGAATGTGAGGATCCCGCCATCAGAGTTGTTCCAGAGCCCTTTGTAGTTCAAGCTTTGGGCACCGCCCTGTTCTAACGCGGAGCGGACTTTGCTGATGAATTTGGGATCCGTAACTGTGATCTTGAGGTAATAGCTTTTCTGGTTGCCTTGAAACCCGTAGATGTTTTCTCGCATCGTTATTTGTACTGACTGAATCGTAGGTTGAAACTGTCCGACTCTGCTCTCCAGGAAAGCTCGGTAGGGCTCGCAGTCGTCCTTGGTGAAGTTCACGGGCGCAGCGATGTAGAGATAATGTTGGAATCCGGTAACGTGGAGGAGGACCGATTGGCCGGCCTAGACACGGACGTTAGAGCATGATCGGTCGTCAAGGGAGTACGCAGAGCCTACCTCAGTCACACCAAACAGTCGAACGGCAGTCTTGCCGCCCATGATTGTCCCCTCTTCAGCATCGATCTGTTGGAAACATATATTCTCCGTAGACGGGTCAAATTCACCCAGTGGCGGTCGTTCCCATTGCTGGTCCTTCTCCGAATTGCTGTCCTTCAGCCCGTTGATATCCTGGGTCAGCTTCTCCAGAACTTCCGCCTCGAACTGACTCTTCTGGGGTTGGCTGGAGCCCGGAACTCGGCGCTGGCCATTTGTTGTCGGGGGCTTCCTAGCAGCGGCCGGGCCATTCTCTATCCTGCGCTTCTTGAGCGCACTGGGATCTGTTGCGACACCGCGAGGGTTATTTGATGCATCGCCCAGAACCCGCTTCTGGGGCATGGCGACGGCTTCAGGCATGATGAAGGGTCATAGAAAACTAAGCGGACGTGTTTTCTTTTCTCCAAGAAATTAGGGTGTGGGGATGTATACACAAAATGAAGTAGTTTGGACAAATTGGGGGGGTATCCTCTCGAAGAATGATGGCTGTCGCGGGAAACTGCGCTCCCCCGGAGTTGCTGCAAGTTCGTGTCTCGTTCGCGCCGGACGTGACGCCTTCACGCGTTGAGTGCCTCACGTGATTGGCTGCCGCGCATCGAGGTCCAGACTGCGGGCAGACTATCCCTTGTACACCATTTGTTATTTTTTTCTGGAATAATCAGCTAGCGAATGGTGATCCGAGAATCAATTCCTAAAGTTCTCTCTGTTGTTCCGGCCATTCTCTGCTCCAACTAGCGGACTTTTTTGCCCCCTCCCTTTGTGTTACTCAGTAGAGGACATGACGTCATGCAGATCAACGTAGACAGTTGCGAAGTAATCTATATACTCTAATGAAGATGTGCCATGGTTTGAACAGGACTAGTATGCTGGTAGTAGAATTGAATATAGAACATATTCTATATGCAGTGGGAGAATAGGCAGAGACTACCCATAACGTGAGTAAGTACCACTTGCTGATGGTGTTGAAAATGTATATATATTGCTTCACCCAAGCAACTAGTACTTCATAATTCCACTGGTGAAAACATATAGTACTACTAGTATTGACCATTGGTATTGCTACAACTAGTAGTATTCAGTAACTGCTAGCTCAGATGAGAAAATAGTAAATAGTTATACCATCCAAAGCACTCCTTAAGTAGGACTGCTGGTAACAGTGCCATTGATAATGCCGGTCGAAGGGCCTCGTCAGCCATAACACTGCCAGACATGGACCTTCAACAGAAATCTACATTGCAAAAAGTTCCTTATAGGAAAGTACCCTCATTCCTGCAGGTGATGATGGATACGAAAGAATGCATTGACCATTGACAACCAGCTCACAACATCCTCACTGCATCTCTAACAGGGTAACCAGATTATGCAGATTATGTTGCTTTCGACGAAGTTCGAGAGTGAGTTATTCCCAACCTAGAAGCATTGATTTATTGACTAAATAATCTAAATAAGACACTAGCTAAGGTATTTCTGGCTAGAGCTTGATCAATGTACAAAGAAGAAGAATGATTGAAATGTACACAAGATTTACCGCTTCACAGACCGTTGGGTTATTTGTGCTGAGAACGGGAATTATTGCAGCTCACTTGATTCTGAGCTGTCAGCTCAAAAGCGAAGTCATCGATCCCTCTAGTAGCCACGGCCGTGTCTCTTGTGGTGGTGCTTGTTCGAAGCCTGGACAGGAGCACCAAGACCCTCGGGAGCGGGGGCATCAGAGGGAGCTCCAGTGGGTGCAGGGCCGTTAATGACCGTTCTCCAAGACCAGGAGGGCTGGCTGGGGACGGCAGAGGCGCCGGGGCCAGCCTCAGAGTAGGCCGGAACATAGGGCGCACCGGCAGGATCGGCACGCTTGGCGACAGCGGAGGTGGCAGCCGCGCCGACGGTGCTGGAGGAGCCAGATCCGTTGCTAAGCTTGCCAATACCGGCGTTGGCCTTGACGTAGGAAGCAACCTTGCTAGCAGCCATGACGGTGACGTCGGACTCACCAGAGGGCCAGCTGCTGATCACAGAGCTGTTACTGGCGGAGAGAGTACCCGAGCTAATCAAGGTGTTGGGGACGCAGGTGCGTCCGAGGGTGCTGGTGCAAGTGGAGACATCGCTAGAGTTCACAGCGAAAACGGCGCCGGGGTCGCTGTCGGCCAAGAGAGGAGTGTCGACGTGGACCATCACATTACCCTCGATCAGAGCACGGGTGTTCTTGCCAACATCAAAGGCATGGCCGGTGTTGTTGAACCAGTAGTTGTTGTACGCGTGCCAGAAGCTGTTGAACTCGAGCTTGGGGGAACGGCCCGAAGTGTGGTGGATGTAGTTGTTGGCGAAGGTGATCTTATCGTTGTCGCCGTATCCGAGACTAGATAATGTTTAGAAAGCTGCAATAATGGAAGAGCGCTTGGGAAGATATGACTTACACAGTCCAGTAGTGGTGGCCGTCGCAAGTTGCAGACCAGCTGGTCTCACCATCAAATTCGCTGTTCGAGATAGTCACGCTGTGACCTGCACACTGTCAGTCTTGAATCCAAATAATGTGCATCTGATTGTGGGAAACCTACTGGCTTCGTATCCGGCAACGAACATCTGACGACCAATGAGGTTGATCTTGACGTGGTCAATCCAGACGTTGTTGGTGCCGTCGAGGGTGATAGCGTCACCACCCCAGATGAACTTGGGGTTGAGCTCGGTGATGTGGATGTTCTGGATGATGATGTTGCTGACACCGTTCACCAGGCGCAGACCCTTTCCACGCAAGACACCAGAGCTGCCCACGCCAACAATGGACTTGTTGGAGGCGACTTCCAGGCCCTCAATAGCGGCGTTGTCGTACGTGCAGGTCAGGGTCGGGTAGCTACCGCACCAGTCGGAGCCATTTTGCTTGACGGCATTCTGGCCAGAGCTGCCGCAGGTGTTCGAGGCGGGCTTGCAGCACTCGCAGTTGGTGCACTTGCCCTCGCTGTCGAGGAAGTTGAACTCCTTGTCGATAAGGATGACGCGGGGGGTGCTGTCGGACAACCAGGTCTTCAGCTGGCTGATGTCACTAGGCGCAGCAGGAGTGGCATCACCACCACCAGTCGTGCCGCTAGCGAAACCGAAGGGGGAGCCAGTGACACCCTGCGCTGCCTGGACTGAAGCTCCAAGCAAGGCAGTGGCCGTCAGGAGATGACGAAGGAGAGTCATTGCAACGAGCCTCAGAAATCGAGGTTGTGAATATGAAAGGAATGACTGAACCAGCAGTTCTAAGAAAACGAATGTAAAGAATGTGAATTTGCGAATTAGTTTGGTGATGAAAGCTGGATCAAAGCTGAGTCGAGAGGTAGTTTAATAGTTGGAGGCTCGACGAACCTGCCATAGAGGGTTTGGGCTTGGCTGCCATGTGTGCACGGCAAGTTGGCGCGAACATGGAAACAGCCATGTCAATCATGGCGGAGTGTGTCGCAGATTGATCATGGATCGCATGGTGAAACTCTCGGGACGGGACAAATCCAGAGTCATCTATCTGGATGCTTGTCTCCCGCCCGCCGATCGCGCAACGGTTTGAGCCCTTGTCCCGTGAGTCAAGACTGTTAAAGCTCACCCGGGACTCTATGACCCGCGCACAGTCTCCAGCTCGTCTGAAACGCTGACGATCCTCAATTCAATCCTTCCCCGAGGGAATCATGATTGGCACATTCGGTGGCAGTGGGAAGATAACCTAGTGATTGTCAGGATGAGAGGATCCACTGTGCCAGGCCTCAAGCCCCACACTTAATTGACCCCAGCGGATCGTCATGAACTCCTATTCAAGCTTATCCAGATTACTACTGGCTCAATGCGCCATAATATATGACTTTATATTGTCAATGTGCCGCGTGCTGCGGGGAGCAAAGCGCGCCCCGTTTCTTCTGCATCGGCCAGATTAAACAACGCGGGATGACGAGTACAATATCCACATTCCGATTCTGGGCCCTACTCAAAGGAGACAGTGCCTGAATCGTGGTGATCAATCAGACCATCCTGCTAAACAAACCGGCTTCTGGAACCAGATGTCACAACCGGCTCTAAGGGGCGAAATAAGCTTGTCGGTCGAAAGTGATATTAAGCTCTGCTCCACCGAGAAGAATACCCATTGGTCTCCGACCAGTCTTCATATCCAACCCGCACTTCAAATTAAGTCGTGGAATTTGATGGCGCGAGGGCATAGGTTGTGGTATCATCTGTGCAATGGCATTGGCGAGAGGGTATTTGGTGCTCCAGATTACTGAGCCGTGTCTCACCCAACACATTTGCCGCCGCTGCTTGATGTAGTGGGGATGGGACCAATTTGACTCCAAGAGCTGCTCGTCAGAAAGAGGCAGGAAGCCAATAAGCAAGGCCCAGTTTATGTGAACGCGAACACTATGCCGAGGAAAGCAACACCTTGATGATCAAGCAACCTATTTGGTGACGCATGTATGAGTCGCAATTGTCCGTCATTGCTAGACTTGCAGTCAATAATTGGATGCCTTGTTATGTTCTTCATCATTGGCGGAAAATTACAGGAAAAGGTGGATGCACCATGGCAGCACTGCATCCGGTAACACTGGCCCGGCAGCGAATGTAGCGCTTCGCAAATCGCCAAACGGTGTGAGCGCGGGACAGAAGGGATGTAGCTTATTGATATGGCCGGACGACAGAATAATTCGCTCGACGACACAGCAATTACTCAATTGAGCCGGATCCGAAGCGGGAAGATTATGGGTAAAGTTCAGAGCAAATTCTTTGATGTCGTAGATACTCGAAGAGTCCTGAGATCAAACCTACTAATGGCGTCGCTGGCTTCCCAACATCATGTGTGTGCGATTCTCCCTCAGCACGCAATAGCACTATTGCGACTATCTCGGATGGTTATAGCACCATGAGGTAAATGCTAACTATTTAGCACTCTGTCTGGCCGATTTCTATTGTTGTTGTCTTTCCGTGGTCTCACAAGGTAGCTGCAGTGGTAACTGGTCTTGAGTCATTCGCATATGCTGAGCAAGCGTATCAGGCCAGCGTATCAAAGGCTTCAGAGCAAAAGGCTGCAAAGCTTAAAGGACTTACTGGCGTCAGTCCCAACCTGGAGGGTAAGGTGTACCACATGCAAGGGTCTGTCACAGGCGTCAGAACGTAGTGCAGGCCTAGGGACCCTGTGGCCAGGCCAAGATACTATGACAATCCCCCAAGGTACTCTGTCATCCATATAAGACATAATGACAAGGCTTCCACGCATGAGGTGAAAGGCAATATGTATTGCAAGCACCATGTCTTCGTTCGATCCAACAAATGTGAACTTAGACACTGCCAGCGTGGAGGACATCTACTGCTACTTGCAGTTGTCCGAAAATGACTACAACGGGCATCTAGGGGCACGTATATCCGCGATATTTGTGATCCTTATAACATCAACAGCATCTACACTTTTCCCAGTGGTATGCAAGAGAATTCCACGTTGGAACATCCCCTACCCGGTCTACCTCTTCGCTCGATACTTCGGTACGGGTGTTATTGTCGCCACCGCATTCATCCACCTCTTGGATCCAGCGTATGAAAGTATCGGCAGCACAACCTGCGTGGGCGTATCAAAACAATGGGCGGAGTATTCATGGTGTCCTGCCATTGTCCTCGCATCTGTTATGGTGGTATTTCTGATGGACCTTGCCTCCGAGGTATACGTCGAACGCGTCTATGGCGTGGAAAAAGAGCACGACGCGACCGACCGATTCCTGACCCAAGCAAACTTGATCCAGAGCGACGACGAGAGTACAGTCAACGACGATGCCGGGGGATCTAAGCAGCCTGGGGTTCAAAATGACATTTGCTCCATCGAATCCGAGCGCTCATTCCGCAAAGATATCGCTGCCTTTCTTATTCTGGAGTTTGGCATTATCTTCCATTCGGTTATAATCGGACTGAACTTAGGCGTGACTGGTGATGAATTCACCACTCTATACCCCGTGCTGGTCTTCCATCAAGCGTTTGAGGGCCTTGGGATCGGCGCCCGGATGTCTGCCCTGCGCTTTGGCCGGCATTGGTGGCTACCGTGGGTTCTCTGCATGGCGTACGGCTTCACCACGCCCATTTCGATTGCCATCGGAATCGGGTTGCGAACGACGTATAACTCGGGATCCAAAACAGCGAACATTGTCCAAGGAGTATTGGATGCTGTCTCAGCCGGAATCCTGATCTACAGCGGATTAGTGGAATTGTTGGCTCGGGATTTCCTGTTCGACCCCGACCGGACTAAGCGGCGGTCGCATCTGCTGGGAATGATCTTCTGCGTATTGCTGGGAGCCGGTATCATGGCATTTATTGGCAAGTGGGCATGAGAGGGAAGGGAGAGTAGAAGAGGTAAGGTAGCAAATACTACTTGATGGTTGTGGTTGTTGGGGGGGGGGGGAAGAGAGGGGGAAACCAGGAGTGTTCAGTTCGAACATAAATTACTACGTAATATTAGTATGACTTTGTTACACTGTTCCACCCACGATCGGTTTTTGCATTACCCGCATCACTTTTTGCGATAGGCCCCCAAATCGAAACAATCCTCTCCGTAGTCAGCGGTGGCTTTGCCTGCATGAACAGAGGCAGCAGCCCTGTGCGGTCAATATAAAGGCCCCAGTCCTCTCCGTCATCATCACCGCTCTTCATCTACACCATTTCATCATGCTAGTTGGGCTGACCATGGAGAACCCCTGCTTAGCCCCATTATTTACTCGACCCTGAACAATACAACTTCGAACGATACTTCCACTCTAACTCCACCACTAAAACCGTGCTCTCTGCTCCTTGCCGCTATGGGTAAGCCGAAGCTGACACCGGAGCCCTTCGACCTGGTCGAACTTTTGCAACAAACCTACGACGACTCCCGCATTATCGTCTTCGTTTGCCTCATATCTTGGATCGTTGGCCGTCTCGACTTGGGTTTGACCTGGTTATTCTTCGTCCTGGCAGTGTGTCGGACTTATGCGGTGGTTAATCTGACCCGAGTTCAGCGAATCCTTCGTGATGAATGCAAGCGATACCACGCACATAAAATCCTTTCCCGTGGGGAGACTGTGGAATGGGTAAATGGTGTTCTACAACGATTCTGGCACATGTACCAAACTCAGATTTGCGACCATATTGTGCGCTACGTGAACAACGGGTTGGCGCGACGGGCCATTACTGAGAACGGAACAACTCCGCAGAAAGTAGTGATTCATTCTTTGGCTTTGATCGACCTTCCCTTACGGTTTACTAAAGTGCTTGTGCACCAGAAACCCTCGTCGCCAAACCTGATCGTTGAGGGCCAATTTCAAGTTAACCTGGCACCGCATCCCACCCACCATCACCTTATCGAAAGCTCAGGACATCCTCTCATTGATCTTACGATTGTTCATGATAAGAGTTCAGGAGATTCTCACCATCGAACTCATGATCTGGCGGTGCAGGTACGGCAGTTCAAGAGCACGGGATCCCTGAAGATGGAATTAGACCTGGAGGGTGACCATCCAGCTCTTCTACAGCCGCAGGTAGACCTTCAAGAGCACCCAAACATGGACTGCACCATCAAGTCAATCAGCCAGCATCACTTTCCGCTTCATTTTGCACATCATGTGGATTGGAGACGGGTGGTGGAACTACAATTGCGGGAGGGGTTGGGCTGGGCATTTCACCGACCGCTGGCGCTGCCTTTCACTCTTGGGGAGCGGTGGCTATTTCGGGTAATGACGTGGTGGTGGCATGCTGTGAACTAGTTGCACTCGGCCCAACATTTGGGGCGCAGGGAGGAGACGCAATAATTGTGCAGGTCATAAATAGAGTCGTCTGGAGACGGGTCCCTGATTGGGTCGCTTGCCTCCCCCGGGGTGGGTGGATTTCCTCCGTAGGGCTGAGCTGGGCGGCCAATCCGAGACCGCCAAATGGTGTTGCCTTGTGTATTGCAATTACCACAGTACCGTCTTGGTCACGCTCGAGCAATCCCATCCCTTACTTCATCATCTATCAAAGGGGTCTTTGAGATGTCTCTCCAAAGAATTTTCCAGCAACCCCCTCAGCCACTTCTTCGATCATTGGATGTCTTGTTCTATTTTTGACGGTGCCATGGTTAAACGTCCAGTGGTTTAATCTGGTCTGCCACACTTTGCCTGGCTGGGTAAATCCTCCTCCGCGCAGTGTCCCTGAACCGGATTTTCTGGTTCTCTGGGCCAGCAATGGTGGGGCTTGGATACTTACTTTGACTGTGCAACCGTGCACGTGAAACAATCTAATTGATTTCTCAGCTGCATGACCGTTAACGAGACCACCCTATAGTATACCAGGTATATCGCACCTGCCATGGGGTAGACATCCTGTACTACTAGTGCTTACAAGCGCTACCCCGCACATGGAGCTTCCGGATTACGCGATTTGGTAATCAGGACGAGTTAGGAATGAGATAAGAAACTTGCCGTGGTGCATGATTCAGTTTGATCATGTGGCACTGATTTGAAACCAATTAAACATACATAAGGCACGGTGGCTGTTTGATCTGCATGCTTGTTTAAGCAGTGTGTCCTGAGTATTGTGCTTTATATCTAGGTCCAGCCCGGTCAGGTGATCTTGATGGTGTTTCTTTCTAACTTCTCTCTCTATCCCTCGATCCTTTCCATCGTTGCGGGGCAAAAGTAACCATTGACATCATCAGTAGTTCGAACAATCACTCATTTATCGAGCTGTCACTCGCTGGTCATTGTGTTGTATTATGTAACATGTTGTCGCCTGAGTTTGTTCATAGCCCAGCCTGGGTAGCTCTGAATAGCTTATCATTCGTATCAACCCCTCTAACACAGCTTTAGTATTGAACCTGATATTGATTCAATAGCGATAAAATCAGATTTCTATGAGATTTCGACAGCGCATCTCCACAAATGCAGCGTGCTTTCGCCGATGGCCCGTGGGTCTGGCGTCCATGTTTATTAACCTCAATGCGGGTTGATTTCAAATGACTTAGACATATAATCCATACACTCCGAGTGACACTCAACTATAACAACGACGCTTTACAACTTGGCGCCTCCTTCAGTGAGGCTCCGGAACGCGATGGCAGGGGTTGTTGGGGGCCGGAACTTGCGCCTCTGACACGGTGCCATGATTGGCCCATTATCCTAGCCAGACGCTACTAGTCGCGTCTTTTCTCGTACTGGCGTGATCGCTCCGTTCTCATATTTATGCCACGTCATAACTTTGCACGATTTACGGCCGTCCGACTAGTTCGTTCACAATGCCTGGAGAGCTGATTGTGCGAACTAAAAGCAGACAGCGACGCAGAAATACTGGGAAGAGATCTAAAACGGGTTGTCGAACCTGCCGGTTAGTAGTATTGTGGTGTCGCTCCATGGGTAATCCACGGTCTGACCTTCAGCTTAGGGTACGGCACATAAAATGCGACGAGGCACCGGGGTCGTGTAGAAATTGTACTTCTACGGGCCGAGCCTGCGACGGATACGATCTGCACCGATTCCCCATTAAGCGGGCATTATGTCTCCCAGCCCTAGGGACAGGTGCTGAAGGGATCATGACATCCGATGAAAAACGGGGGTTTTCGTACTTCCAATACCGCCTTGTCCCCGACCTTGTTGGCTTTTTTGACTCCTGGCTCTGGCAGAAGCTGGTCCTGCAGATGTGTCATTCGGATCCAGCGGTATGCCATGCTGTCAACATGGTGAGCGCAATCCACCAAGATGCTGAGGAAAGAGGCATGCGACTAGCTGGGGAGGATTTGCAGAATCCAAAACACCGATTTGCACTTGAGCAGGCGGTCCGATCTTTCGCACATTTGCAAAAGCGCCGGGCCTCTCTCGACCCACAGCTGCGCGAGGTCGTGCTGGTGTGCTGCCTTCTTTTCGTCATGGCGGAGCTGCTGTTGGGAGAATTCGCCAGAGCCTTTGTACACCTACGTAGTGGCACACGAATTCTCGAGGAGTCGCTACGCCTTGGGATACCTGTTGATCGTTGTCTTTCAGAAACACTCCGCGTCTTGAATTCCCAGTCGTCACATGTCGGAGACTTTGAATCAAAATCATGCTTTCAAAGCGAGGAGGAGGATGAACGTGATATTGGATTGTTAGAAGAATTTGATAATCTGAAAGTAGCGCGACAATGCTTTCAGCGAGTCATGTATAGCGTGGTCCCGTTCATTGCCACGGTTTGGAGACTTCCACAGAGAGAGATACTAGCGAATTACAAACCCCTATGGACCAAACGGATGAGGCTGCTATCCTCGGTGAAGCACCTTGCAGAGCGGTTTGAAGTGTTTTACCAACGAAAATATGCCACTCTTAACGCGAAAGAGCAAATAGGGGCGGATATCGTGCGGCTCCAACTGGTTGGGAAGATAATCGTACTGAAAACGTGCCTGCTTGACGTGTATGACCACAGATTGCTCACCCTGGAATACAGCAATCTATTATTAGGATACGAAAAATTCATGGACAAGTTGTCCTGCCGCCCCACTATCACACTGGATTACGGACTGAGCTTTGGGCTATTCGCTGTGGCATCGAAATGTCCAGACCTTGGCATCCGCCTTCGAGCCGTTGAGGCCTTGCGCAGGTTGCCGCATTATGAGGGCATGATGAATTCCAACGCTGGGGCTGGAATAGCGGTGGAGGCGATCAAATTGGAGTTGCACAAGAGGCAGCAGGATGATCTTGCGGAGCGCGTGTCTTCGATGGATCAAGATCCCGACGTAAGCTTTTGGAAAATAATTAGGAGCACGCAGAATGGGACGCAGTGGTCGGCTATACGTGATGTAGAGCTGCGACTGAAGGAGACTCGACGGTTGTGAGATTACCAAAGTGGTCGGGTGATGCCACAATTTTCACTTAGTATCTAGCGGATCTTCATGATGAACTTATGTTCTTAAAACACAGTATATAGGTCATGGTAGTATAGTCTAGCAGGCGTATCTACAAAATGAAAGCATGCTGTCCAATACGTGGGTTGGTTACGGGTATACAGCAGATCAAATCCGCATGGCATCCGCGGTACTACCTAGATAACGAATCACACCGCGGAAAAGAAACCTTCTGCTGTCTTAGAGCGTCTTCTTGATAAAGTTCTCAACCTGCTCATCCAAGTACTGAGGCCCAATGAAGTAGTCCACCTTGTCGCCATTCTTATAGGCAACGGTAGCCGGAATAGCAGTGAACCCCCATTCCTCGGCCAGCTCGGGATGATCATCGGTGCTGACCCAGGCCATGTACACGGAAGGGTATTTGGCGCTGATCCTATGATACTCAGTCATTACCAAGCAATCACCAAATTATGTATCAAACAAGACGATATAATGCCTCATTCAAGACTGCAAAAGGAAAGTTAAGCCAATCCAAGCAATGTTCATACCTCTCGAAGTTGCTCTTCGTTAATCTGCCGACATCACTCCAAATAGCTGTAAACATCAAGACAAATGACTGGTTTTTGGCGATGACACTGTTGATTTCTTCCTTGCTGGATGAAGTGTTAGAGATCTTGTGTTTATTGGTTGTTCTCCGTCCTGCGATCTATTTCTTCTCTCGGGTTGGATTTCCGAGGTGGATGGGACGTGTGCTCACCTGTTGAGCTGGTCCATTTCAGCCATCTTTTCTTCTAGTTGATGCTAAGGCTTCCTAGATTGATCAATTGATTTGGCTAGGATAGAAGAGTGTAGTAGGTGCAGTTTTGATGGGTATTCTGGTGTGTCTGGTTTACGAGAGGGGTGGGGGAAGTGGCCCTATTTAAGTCGGAGGCTTAAGGACTTCATCGCCACCCACATGCCACTAATATCCTGTGTGATCAAGAAGAAAAGAAAGCTGAAGATTCAGCTGACCGGTGCGGCAATTTACCGGCGTCATTATGAGATGCGATTGTGTAACAGGCAAACAGTTTGTGCGAGGTTTGAGGACGCAATCTCGATCCTGGGACCACGCTGACGTCCCCATTTAGTGGCGAAACCGGAGTCGCATTGGTAAATGGAAATGGATCATGATCTATCACGCACTGGGATTCATCATCTCATTGGCATGATCCCGATCGCCCTTTTTTCGGAGATCGTGCAGATTTCATTTAACAGGACTCTACTTTGACACACGAGCTCCAGCCAATTGGTTGACTGAAGGAGAGGAACCCTTGCTGTCATCCCCAACGATGTGTGGATGCTATACTATTTGGGGCGAACCTTTACCTAGGATGGGTGCAGATCTACACAGCTGAGCACAGCCAATATAAGCTGCTGCAGGACCCTGATCATCGTGGCTTCGTCCATTCGATTGCGTAAAAGAGGGGGTATTCTTGGCGTGCATGAAGGGTTACATGCCAGGTGCATCTCCACTTCAGCTGAAGTCCAAGCTGAAAAGTTGAGCGAAGCTAATGCAGGCTGATTAAATGACGGCGTTGGACCCTGGTCCAAGTAGTCAAATGTTGTTGGCCAGTCAGATCGGAGGGAAGCCTGTTCCATCTACTTCTTTCAATCTATCTTCAATCTATTCAACATCCTGGTATACGAGCCATGGTCACATTGACACAGCAACAGCATCGTTAAGGATCTAAATTATCAAAAGTCGATGTCGTCAATGTCTGTATGGGTGCCGTTTTGGCAATACGAAATGAGGGGGGAAATTCGCCTCCCGGAGAGATAAATAAGGGTCGATGGACCCGTTAACTCAATCGCTCCATCATCATTATCATCATCATCATCATCAACAACAGCAGCAGCAATTCCAGAACATCAATCTTCTTACTTGAATCCAACTCACGCTTCGGGCTCATCAATTCGATTTTCATCATGACACAGTCAACCATCAAGTCCGAGGAGTCGAACCCTCCAAGCCTACACATCGTCAAGCAGTGGAAGGAGGTCAAAGACAGTCTGCCCTTCGATGACACTCAAGACTTTGTGAACGCTAAACGGGGTTGGAGAGGTAGTCTCGGTGACCCCAATCAGGTCATTGATGCTCAGGGCAATGTGGTGTGGAACAACGATGCCTACGACTTTCTGAAGGACGACGCTCCATACTCGGCCAATCCAAGTCTGTGGCGCCAGTCGCAACTAACTCGCATGAATGGACTGTACCATGTCGCCGGACCTATCTACCAAGTGCGCGGGCTTGATCTCTCCAACACGACCATTATCGAGGGTGATGAGGGCATCATTGTCATCGACCCCCTCACTTCGCAAGAGACCGGTGCGGCAGCACTCGCTCTCTACCAGAAGCACCGTGGCACTGACAGAGCCATCAAGGCTGTCATTTACACTCACTCCCATGTTGACCATTTCGGTGGTGTCAAAGGCTTCGTCAGTGAAGATGATGTCGAGAAAAACGACATCAAGATCATTGCCCCGGAGGGTTTCCTGGAGCATGCTGTGTCCGAGAACGTCTACACCGGTACTTCAATGAGTCGCCGCGCCGCATACATGTACGGTGCTGCCCTCGAGCAAGGGCCAAGGGGCCAGATCGGCGCTGGGCTTGGACAGACTACCTCGACCGGCGTCGTCACCCTCATCGCACCAAACATGACCGTCAGACGCACGGGCGAAAAGAGAACCGTCGATGGCATCGAGATGGAGTTCCAGATGGCACCGAACACTGAGGCGCCCTCTGAAATGCTCATCTGGTTCCCCGGCCTTAACGCACTCTGCGCCGCTGAGGACGCCACACACACCTTCCACAACATCCTGACCCTGCGCGGTGCGGTGGTCCGCGACCCTCACTCCTGGGCCAAGTACCTCACAGAGACCATCGACCGATACGGCAGCCAAGCCGAGATCGTCTTCGCCCAGCACCATTGGCCGACCTGGGGCAACGACAACATCTTAAAGTTTCTCACCTACCAGCGTGACCTATACGCATACGCGCACGACCAAACCCTCCGCCTCCTGAACAAAGGATACAATGGCCCCGAGATTGTCGAAATACTTACCTTACCCCCAGCTCTTGATCAATCTTGGTATTGCCGCGGCTACTACGGCTCGCTGAGCCACAACGTCAAGGCCATCTACCAGCGCTACGTCGGCTGGTTCGACGGCAACCCAGCCCACCTGTGGGAACACATTCCCGTCGACAAGGCCAAGCGATACGTGGATCTCATTGGCGAGGACAAGATCGTAGAAGAGGGTAACAAGGCATATCTAAAGGGCGACTACCGCTGGGCAGCTGAGCTTCTGAGTCACGCCGTCTTCAATAACCCGGACAACGAGGATGCCTGCAAGAAGCTGGCAAATGTGTACGAGCAGCTCGGATACGGAGCTGAAAATGGTACCTGGAGGAACTTTTATATCTCTGGAACGACCGAGCTGCGCAATGGCAATTTTGGCACGCCTACGCAGACAGCTGCGGCTGATGTGCTGGGTCAGCTTACCCCGGATATGGTCCTTGATACTTTGGCTATCCAAATAAATGGGCCCGATGCGTGGGATAAGAAGGTGCTTATGGATCTTGTTGTTGCGGATCAGGATAATAAGTTGTATCATTCCTGGCTGTCTAACGGGGCGCTCGTCTACAGTACTGCTGACCAGTCGAACGCTGCTCAGGTCACTCTGACTGGAACAGCCAAGCAGTTGACCGCGCTTGCTGTGTATGGGCCTGATCCTTATGCTTTGGCCAACGCTGGTATTGTGATTGATGGGGATACCACTGCGCTGGAGACGCTTGCGTCTTTGTTGGATCCGGGTGATCCGAACTTCAATATCGTTACGCCTTAGGTGGTGAGACTAGCTTACAGTGGACTGGATACGAAGGCCCATCCCGTCCTTGTTATAGTAGTTTCAGTCAATTGGGTTCTTCGCTTTTTGGATATAGTACTTAGGATAAGCAAACTCTACTAGTATTTTCTAGGATTGATTGCTGTCAAAGATCCAAACATAAGGACAATGTTGAGTTTATAGTGGGCATCACACGTAGTCTTGATGATAGCCGCAAGTACGCTTCGTTTCTACCAACTTCGACCATTTTCTATTACTATGCTATGATTTTACCTTTCCTATCTAGTTTTATTCCGTGTTATTTTTGAAGTATCCCCCAACGGTTACCTTCAATGACGACGAACTGGTAGGCCGTGATTAGTAGCATCATCATTTCCCGTCTAAGATAGAGAAACCCAAACACTGAATTTGTCCTGCCAGGCATGATTACATTCCCTTGAGCTACTAGTCGACCCATGACCCTTTTGGTGGCTTTTATTCCCGGATATTCCTGATTAGCAGATAGTGAGGGAAATGACGAGCACTAGTGTGGGAGATCCGGCTGAATGCATCCTGTGCATATAGTCTCTATACCCATTCCAAAGGCCCCTTGATGTAGGGAAATAAGCAGTAGTCCTAATTATAGAAGAAATCAATGCGGTCGTGGCATTTCAATGTACTAGTATTAAATTATTTAGGTACCGGATACCGCACCCTCCACGAATACCGTCTTATCATCTTTAACTCCCTTCCAATCCCAGTGGTCTCGCGCATCGAGCTCAGCGTACTTAAAGAGCCATTCTACCGCTATCCACGGCTCACGCCGGGCCTCCATCTCCTGGGAAATCAACTCCTCCAGCACAGAGCTCACACCAACACAAACCGCGATAGTGGATGTATAAGGATTGTATCGCTCGGAAGGGCTGCGCGGCGGTAGGAGATAGGCGCCGCGATCGACCAGCATGCGCAGGCGGACGCGGCCAGTTTCGCTATGCGTATGCAGATTATAGTGATAAGCCACGTGTGCTAATGCTGTCTTACGGCCAATGCGTTCGTGGATGCGTTTGTTTATGTCCAGGCCGTGTTGAAGTAGCAGATCGATGGTTTCGGCGGCATCTGCATCAGATGCCGCTGTACATGCTGCTTCGGCGATCAAGTTGACAGTGGGCGACAACTGAGCCACCGAAAAGCCTCTGTCTAGCAGCCACTGAAGTGTCCCGATCTTCCCCGTAGAGGCCGCGATCACGAGGGCCTGCTCGCATGCGGTTCTGTCCAAGTGCTCTGGGAAGATGTAGCTATTCCATCACCCCGTTCGGACGAGCAGATCCAGAACCGCCGGCCCCCCGCGGATGGCTTGGTGAAGAAAAGTGACCAGATCCATATGACACGGCAGATCGATTTCCTTATCTATCAGCATCTGGACTAGTGCAGTGCTGCCAGAACGATGGCAGGTAAAGTATCACCTGGGCGGTCTACGGCGGTAGGATCAGCCCCGGCGGCAAGAAGGTGACGCAAAATGCCTTCGAATGGGATGGCATGTCTTAATGCTGGATAACCGTCCTGTGCATCCTGGTCATTGGGGTCTGTCCCAGTGCTAAGTAGCATGGAGACCATGACTTCTGAGCCCTGCTTAATGGCCTCGATAAAGAGCTTCCGCATACGCATCTGTCCCGGCGATGGAGATACCTCTGCACGTGAGCGAGGAGCACCTGGACCACCTCGGCGTGACCTCGGACTATAGCCCAGCAGAGGGCAGTCGGGAGACCATCCAAAATGAACATTTGACCATATCGAAGATTTGTGTCGTATCCATGGCACTCAAGTAACTGCCGAACCAGAGCTATATTACCGCGCCCCGCGGCTACGGACAGCAGCACAGCCTTGTGTGCGGGCTCAACGGTGCTAGCCAGGTAATCCTATCGTTCGAAGAGAAGATCAACTACGTTGTCGCATGTATATTGTGCGTTTGACTAGAGGGGACACATCGTAACATTATGGGACGACGGCAATTCTGAGCCTTGGCAGCGGGTTAACTGGTCCAGCACGCCCGCATCGAGCAGACACGGGACACATTCGAAGTGACCCAGGCGCGCTGCCCAACACAGGGCGAAGCATCCGTCCGGTTCCATGGGAATACTAGGATCGGCTCCCCGTTGGAGCAGGAGCTGCATGACCTCAAGATGGCCTCCGCGCAAAGATAGCAAGAGGGGGGTCCAATTTTACTGATCCCGGGCGTGGATGTCTGCTCCGGCATCGACCAGCCACCACACAATGGCTAAATGTCCCCCTGCAGCAGCTTCCATAAGGGGTGTTCGTCCGTCCGAGTCCGCAGGGTAATCGACATGGTACGGCCGCGGCAGGTGATCCATGAAGAAGCGGACCAGTGCTTCATGGCCATGTACGGCGGCCAGCAACAACAGACTTCCAGAACTTTTGTCATAGGCCTCATGGCGCGGATTGAGCCACCTACGTGTGTGACGGATGTCGACGCCACCCTGCTCATACAGATACCGGACAATGGCTTCATCGCCCTCTATCACCGCCAACGCCATGGGTCGCCAGAGAGTGTCCCGATCACACTCGTTCGCCGACGCACCGGCCTCCAGAGATTTCTGCACAGTTACGAGGCATTTGTGATCAATTCCCCAGGATAATGCAGAGCTGTTGTTATGGTGCACGTCATGTCGGTTCAGCATTCGATTCACGACGCTGTAGAAAGCTCCATGAGTGCGAGCGAGGGCATTGATGTCACTTGCACAGTCAAGGTGTCCCACAATCTGTTCGATGAGCTCAACTGGGAGACACAAAGCTGTCATAGTGCCGTTGAACAGATCATTATGGGAGCATCCGTTGGACGAGGCTGTGGGTTAGTTGCTTGATGATTGGGGATGTGGCAGAAGATTTAGGGAAATCTGGATAAATTGGGAATGGATCCACTCCAAAGTGGGGCTAGATTCCTACCACAAATAGTATCTCGACTATGCATCACAAAAAAGACTTAGAGAAGGTTGGCAGGTATGGTTGAGATACTGGCATAGGAGAACTTGGTGGAGTGGATGATCTTTGTCCCTTCATGTATCGTAGTATCGGCGTACATAATATAGCCGAGGTAATAGTCTCGTTCAACCATGATAATCCTACATCACGACCTATAATTCAGACAGCACCCATGCCAGTACATAGGTTTGGATGAGTAGGATTTCATGTGCAGAGGGACAAACTATACATGAGGGACAATGAGCGATCTTATCAAGCCCCATGACCGATAAGCGGACTTTCCGTGCGGGGTGATAACCGATGGTCCCCTGCCGAGATGAGATAGCATTGCTGTCTTCCACTTAACATGAAGGAGAATCTTTCAACATCAATTCCTCTATTTTCCTGCTGGAAGACGCTACATAATTAAAGCAATAAACAATGTCGGTTACTGACGCAAGTCCAGGAAATTTCGATCAGATCCCTATCATCGACCTCTCGGCATTAAGGAGTCCCGTGCTGAAGGAGCGCCAACAGCTGGCAAAGGAGATCTTCACTGCCTGTGAGCAGGTCGGATTTTTCTACATCAAGGTATACTTCTTCCCTAGGAGGTTGGATGAAGGCAAAGTACCTGAGTATGATACAGAATCATGGAATAGCTGAGGACATCATCACTTCCCTCCACGACATGGCGCGCCAGTTCTTCACTCTGTCGCAGAAGCAAAAGATGGATTATTATATTGGAAGGTCAAGGGTGGCATTTCACATCTCGCCATGGAGTGACAATCTACTGATCCTCGATTTAGAAATTTCGCGGTTTCATGCCACTCTACTCAGAGCAGCCCACTGACACGGATCTCGGGTCCGCCCCCAAGCCAGGCCCTACCTCACCCGGCGCCTTTTCCGAATCCTTCGATATTGGTTATGAGGTGGCAGCTGACCCTCTGAAGAGTCAACATGATGCCCTTCCTCCAGACACGTTTGATCTGTATGGGGATAACCAGTGGCCTGAGGAGGATGTCCTTCCTGGGTTCCGCGAAGTCTATCTTCGATACTTTGCTGAGGCGATGACCTTATCTCGGGCGCTGATACGAATCTTTGCGCTAGCACTGGATTTACCCGAGGACTTCTTCGACCCGATGGTCAAGAACCCCGGGGCTACGTCGAGGATGTTGCATTATCCACCGCAGCCGGTCGCGGGCGAGGTAAAAGTCGGACTTGGAGAACACACGGTAAGTAATTGCCCGAAGAGACGAAGCGAGGTGCGTACTGAATCGAACAATACCTGTTCTTCAGGATTATGAATGTTTCACTATACTCTCGCAAGATCAAGTTCCGGCTTTGCAAGTTCTCAATGCTCGACAGGAATGGGTTGTGGCGCCGCCCATTCCTGGAACGTTGGTAGTGAACATCTCGGACTGCCTGTCCATTTGGTATGTAGTGCTGTCTCTAGTACATCTCAATGCCTTGGATGGTATAATAATGTGTACAGGACCAATAAAAGGTTCAAATCGACCATCCATCGCGTCACCAATCTGACCGGACAGGAGCGATATACCATCCCCTTCTTCTTTGGTGTGGACTATGACACCACTGTGGCGGTGCTGCCGAGCTGCATTACCGAAGATAGTCCTGCGTGCAAGACGCCGTTCAAAGCGGGGGAGGTAAGACGAATTGCATGCTTCACGTTCTTCTTTCTCAAGGAACAGGCTAATTTTGGTACGTCATAGTGGGTGCGCCACCAATTGACTACGGCCTATGTTGGATACGAGCCAGAGCCGCCGACCCAAGGGAGCTAGGACCATTGTGCTGGGACCAAGAGGGGTTGGAGAAAATACATTGTGCAAATCCCCTAGCTGGGCATCTTGCACGACATGATAGATAGTGGCTAAATATATTTCCATCATTATAGCTCTTCGGACCAGCTCCAAAATGGCTGTGCAGCATTTTGAACTACGATTTTTCCTTCATGAGTGGACAAATGCACTGTTAGAATGGTTCCAATTTTGTCATCGATAGGCAACATCGCATGGGGGTTTCAGCCCAACCCCTATCTCATTCTCAGAATGTGACAATGCACCATTGAGAAGGTTATTGGGTAAGAAAAAGACCTCAAACTTGGGCGATTGCTCAGCCTCATCGTGATAGCCGACGCTGATGATCGTCGAGGAAAAAGCAAATACATAACGCCAAAGCAATATCCGCAATCTTGCAGCTGGATTGGCTGATCGAGTGAACCGGCACGATAAGGGAGCATCCGTGCTTCAGGCTACCCCTGGATTAGAGATTCTCTTGGTTGCCGTATCTCGCGCCATCGATCTCGGGGAAGCCTCGAGTTGAGCCATACAACACATACCTAAGGCTGGACATTCATGTGCAGAACAGCCAACAGAATCAATGAGCAATTCCCACTCAAGCAACAGAGACAGAACATGGCTTCATTGCGTTTTCGTCCCGTTCGGATCACATCTTGTGAAAGTCTATCACACTGTACACTCGATCTTCCCGATCCTATACTTGGAATACTGGTGCGCGATCTTCGCACTAAGTATACGCAACGACCACCTGCCCAAGCACGCGATCCAGATTTGCTTTTTCTAACCATCTCTTTGGGAGCACGGCCGATCTCCACGGCGTTTCTGGGAGTGGGATGGCCAACTCCGCGGGCGCTTGAAGTTCACGATAGGAGGTGCCCGATAGTAAGTTTGATATCTACCTTGTAATGTCCCACCTTTCTCATTAACATTTGATCTTCTTTCTTCTCTTCGAACAGATCCTGCAGTATGTACCACGAGTGACTTGATATCTTCACTGCTGATGGAGCACGCTGCACTCTCCGCACCCATACAGATGGAATCAGAGGAGATTCTCTCGCGAATTATCCTCGTGGTCTCGGTTGCTTCCATGTTTGGGTCAGGATGGATCATTGTCAGCTTCCTTGTGAGTATTGGACCAAGGCGTCTGCCTGCCTGTCTGTTTCTAACGCGCATCAGTTTATACCCAGTCTGCGCACTTTCCGTCATCAATTGATTTTAGGTGCCGCCTTTCCATGGATAATGCAATATAATTGCCACTGACGGATTCAGGTCTCGGGATCAGTGAATTTCTAGCCGCAAGCAATGTCGTCGTCTCAGCTGGTCTGAATACCTCGGGCATCGAGATATGGAATTCTTCCCTCAAGACATTCTGCAGCTTCAATGGACTCATGGCTCAGACATTTCTGGTGCAGAGTAAGACTCGATATATTCATTCCTGACGGTAACATACTAACGGTTAGTACTCCTAGCCGACTATTGGATTCTTTCAATTGCAATCTGCACGCACCTCATACTATGGACTATGTCCACGCTGACTCGTGGGTCCAGAACCATAAAGCCGCCCTCTGGTGCATCCCATGGGGTCTCTCAATTCTATGGGCAGTGCTTGGCCTTGTCGTCGTCGGATATGGGTATGCAGGTGGCTGTATGTCCCCTTTAGCTCTATGGTCTTGAGACGCACGATTGATAGAGATCAGGGTGCTGGTTCACCAGTGATCGTGTCCGACTTTTCGTGAACTTCATTCCACGGTGGACTATCATCCTTGTCATCCTGTGCGGTTACACCCGACTATACCTCTTCCTCTACCGGTCTCATAAAGCTCTCTCGAGCGATCAGGAAGTCGCTCTGCGGACTCCGCATCCACAACAATGGCAGCTTCTGGATATCGGTGACGGGCCTACCCATACTTCTCATTCGTCAATCCCACTTAAGAAGGTTAGTCACTTGAGTATCGGCGCTTCCGGTCTTATGCCGATGACCAAATAATTAGGTGTCACTCCAAATGATGGTATATCCGACCGTATATGCGTTGATCTGGATCATCCCCACTTCCGTGCGCATCTATCAAGGGATGATGGGAAAGCGAGCTCCACTGGCACTGGAGATTCTAGAAAAGGTGATCGAAGAAAACGACGGCCTTCTTTGAACTTTATTAACATAGGTCTAGATTTGCATTATGTCACAGGGCTTTGTTGATGCCATTATTTACGGTAAGCGATATAAGCAGCTAGTCTCCTTGCACAGTGCTGACTGGAATTACAAGGGTTTAATGAGCGTTCCTGGACTGGCTGGAGGGACTGGCTGCATGGGTTAGGAGAATGATCGACTTAATGGGATGACGACGGTGACATAACCACTTGCAGTTCAAATTGTTTAATGACTATAGTTTTTTGTAGTAAGGTAAATGATCTACGGCGTGGATAGCCCTGGCACCTGTTCCGACGAATCATGCATGTTTCCAGTCAAGCTTCCAACAACATATTCGGCCTTGATCATCGTCTGTCCCAATCATATCTGTGTGGGCCTTGCAGTAGATAGGCGATCCAAGGGCTGTCTACACTTATGGGCTGGGGTCTACCGTGGAACCACCACTGTTGATGGCCGGCTCAGTCTGCCGGACATTTCCGAGGCAGGGATGAGATCCATCATCCTGGGCTAGATCATTCTAAGGAGTTCGTCACCAGCAGATCTGCTAGTATATTCCCGACACGGTCCGGAAGGAGAATGAATTGGTGATTTCTTAGGGGATTAGGGTAGTAGTAGAGTGCTGCAATGGTAACGACACCATTATTAAAGACTGGAGTTTGACCAGCTTAATTGCACACTGTGGAATATCCATATATTCAGAAATTATATGAAACTATTGATCTGCCAACAAAATCGTGGGGAATTGACTCGATGGCTGGCCAGCTGGTGGGGAGACGGAGAGCCCGTGACTCCGGGCCGCTTTCGTCTCAGCGCGCTCTCTGCCGCCATGACGACTGTAACCCTGACTGCGATACTCACCTCCCGTCTTCCCTATCGGCATTCCCGTCGTAGCAGCAGCTACGGGCACGTTTCACAAACAATGTCATGATCGGTCTGTTCCAGTTTATATAGTTTCAAATCTTCTAAGACATCGTAACTTCACTTGGCGAGTCATTGTTGAGCCCGCACGCAAACAATCCCCTTAACGTTCATGATGTCATTGACTTTCACCTTTCTCCATGACGCATCCTAACCACACTTTCGAGTCAACAATGAGGCCCATGACACCACGACTACGCCAATTTCACGTGGGCCGATCGATGGCTATTGGCAGTGCGCCCAGGATGGGCTTCTCCCCTGCGCGATCAACC